AACGTACTGTCATTTAGTGATAACCTAAGAAATATACTATTTCATAATTTATTTACACACACATAAAGTCATTTGTCATTAAATTTATTTTAGAGAACTGTACTAACTCACAAAGATGTAATAACTGCACTATTAAACCCCACTTTGATTAAGTGGACACGATTCACAAAACTTGTGGATATAAATTTGTTATGTTTCTAAAAGGCTACAAAACTTTTTTTCATTCTCTCCCCTAATAGCTAATAGCTCCTTTGGAAACAAAAATAATAGGTCAACTTTTAGAACGAAAAATATAAGGCTGTTAGAAATGAAGATTATATTTTGTTGCATCTAACTCATTACAAATGTTCCTTATAATTGTATCCCATTGTTTCTTCTTTGAAAAATGTAATGGTTTTCCAAGCATACCAGTACTAATTTCACAAACAAAATTAAGCTTTTCCATCATTAGCAGGAATGTAAATTTTAACAACTGGCCTATAATAAGAAAATAGGCCAGGCCATTTGCTGAAATCAATTATTGTACAGTTAATTTTAATAAATTATAAATATACAGCATATATTCAAAGACAACTCTTTAAGTTTAAAGTAGGAATTTTTGCAGCCAGAATCCTATCAACATCAATAGGTCATGATTATATCCCATTTCTCTGAAACTACAACATAAGGTTTTGATTGCTTAATTTTTTGAAAAAAAATCTTGCATATCTATAAAATGACAAAATGAATTACAAACTATTTGCAAGATATGCAACTTTTTTTTAGATACAGGGCCATTTTAGAACATGTTGCACAAGGGTGGGACAAGTTGAAGTGGTTATGTTTAAATACATGCATGCATATAGCATCTCGTCCACACATAATTAATACATACATCCCTCTTACCCAACAGCCCACAGATATACCAAATTCATGATAAATTTGGCAGATGAAAAAGTAGTGGCTAGACAAGAGAAGGAAGATGAGAGTCAAGTAAGAGTCAGATATGTTGATGACCTAAAAAAATCAACAATTTCAAATTATTTTATTGAAAATATGGCATATAAACAGCCTCAATATCTCTAATAGGAAAATGGATTTATAATTTTCATAGGAAGCCAGGATCTTCACTTCCAAATAGTTAGAATAATAAAGTAATGATGGAACTATGTCTTCACATATCTTGGATATCTAAAAGTTGTACAGTGACCATTTTATATGGACAGAATTCAAAAGTTATACAACATAGGCTGGAAATGTTTCTTGCAATTCCAAATGCCCCGGTATCTATTTCATAAATGATGATAAACACAGAAATACAGCTAGTTACTTTCCAGAATCCTATTAATCAGTTTTAGTCAATGATGCACTTTAAGATTATTCAGAAATCCATTTACAACACTACCATAGGAGAAAAGCTACTATCCTTTTCTTCAAGGATATTTGGGTTCAAGTCCTATAAAGTATGCACTAATGAAACCTTGTTCTACTCCAGCGGTCGCCAACCGGTGGGCCACAAGAAAATTTTGGTGGTCTACAGAGAAATCTCACTCCGAGCACCCTCCCAAAGCAATTAATCCAGGTTGTGCAGAAACACAAGGCTGTGCCGCCCACATGGCCCACGGGAACCCTCCCCACCCACTCACTGCCTACCTGGCAAACTTGCCTACTAAATTGCTATTTTTCCTTTTTCCAACCATCAGGTGTTCTGCTGTGCCAGGAGATTTAGATTAGCTAGGAAGCAGGAAATGGTTGGATTTCTTGTTTCTAGCTTGTCTTTAGATCTTCGGCTCTGCATTTAAGCACAGCTGAACTTCCCTTAAGACTGAAGGTTCTATTATTCAGCCATGCCCAGCCAATCACATGACCACCAAGTCGCACCCACAAATTAGGCCATGCCCACAGAACCGGTTAGTGGTCCCTGGGATTTAAAATTATGAGTTTGGTGGTCCCTGAGATCCAAAAGGTTGGCAACCCCTGTTCTACTCCACCTTTTCATCAGACAGGCAAAGCAGTGGAACCAGTCTTGAAATGTAGAACACTAATGGAGAGACTGAAGGCAAATGAAGTTTAAACAGGTCAGGAGGCAAACCATTGTCAATGGGATTTAATTTTCCGAAATAAAGATATGCAATGTTTTATTCGTAATCCATGAAAAGCCCTCCTGACAGGTTTCTAGGAAAAGGGCAAAAACTAATTTTGATTTTATTAACTGCAACTAATGAATGCCATTCAGGTGCTCTTTCTAATAACCTGCAGCATTAATAAAGTAATGATGCAGCAGCAATTTGAGGATGGTACTGGAGGCTCCACACAAGACTTGGGAAGCCACATACCTAAGCAAATTTGTCTTAAAGAGCACGGCTATAGCTTATAGTGTTGATATACTGTATATTGTCATTGGAGGGCCAAGTGGCAACTGGCATGCAATAAACTTATGAAGTAGGTCACACTTTTCCAAAGTGAGACTATTTCAACGCCTATTGTTTAGAATACTAGCATATGGTAGGTTTGCCTTTTTACTTTTTCTTAAAATTTCAGTTACCAAGCCACTAAATTACTTAGCATAACTAAAAAATTAAGAATGTGCCAGTTTCTGAATAGTCTTCAAATTGGTGAAGATCACTTATACAGTTGGTAATAAATTGGACTATAGATAAAATCAGGATTAACTTCTTTTCTGCTTGAGGCCCCCCCAACACACATAAATTATAAATTATAATCATCATAATCACATAAATTATAATCATCTCAGAAATTCTGTCTTTAAAACCAGAAGTGTGCCTTAGAACAAATCTACTCGTGGAATATTGCCATAAGGTCTAATTTAATTCCGGTCTCACATGAATGCTGGAAATCTATGTTCTTATTTTTACACATATAATTGATAATTACTGGACCTATTGGATTTTATTGTTTATTCAATGCACAAGATGTGAATAAATTGCTCACCATTTGGATTGGGGTTGGAGACTGTCAACCACTTCTGAATTTTTTTTAAAAAAGTGGCATACCCTATCTTTCTCTATTTTCTCAAAGTTTTTTAGGTAAAACATAAAAATATGATGAAGCTATTTAATCAGTGGAAATGCACATATATCTACAGTTAGCTGACTAAATGAGACACAGCTTATCCATATAAAATAGAAAACATTTTTGACAAGAGTCAAAAAGAGTTCATAAATAGGAGAAAGTGAGTTATTATTAAGTAGAATATACTTTAACAGAATTCCATTGAATTACTTTGCAGATAATTAATTTATATTTTAAATTTCTCATTATTTTACAGGGCCCAAATGCTTTCAGAATATACCAGGTTCCTAGGAATTTCTTGAAAGCTGATTAAAATTTGCAAGCTATCTGCATAATGTATAGTGTTATCTTTGTCATAGTAAATGATATTTCTAGTCTTAGGTCTACAATTAGCATTCAATAAAAGATTTCTGATAAATTGTTATTCCTAGATGTCATAGGACAGGGAATGGGAGGTTTTGATGACAGGGTTACAAACCTCTTTTAAAAGTTAATGCCATTTTTCATTCTCATTAACGCAGTGAAAACTGGGCTGAATATTAAGCATCCACAGGAGCTCAATATTAATGCCATAATATTCATTGTTGCCCCATGGTTTCATTACTCACACAGTCTTGAACCTTGGTTGTGTCTAATCTATCAGCCCATCCCTCTATAAAACTCCTCCCACATATTCTGGGAAAGAGACTGATAGATATCTTTGTAGCATATGTGGGAAGATATATAGAACAAAAAGTTACAGATAGTATTTTATCACTCTCATCATAGTCAACAGTTGGCTTCAACTTTATTCAGTAATACAATGGTTTCTGTAGATACATGATGAAAGCAACCCATAAATACACCCTCAAAGTACAACTGGCCTTTAAGAATCTGAGATATGTGTCCATCCAATTATAATAGGATGACTGAATCAGTATATCTGATACTCCACCTGTCTTTATTAGAATTAGAATTTTTTATTGGCCAAGTGTGATCACAAGGAACATGTCTCCTGTGCATTAGCTCTCAGTGTACATACAACAATAGTGATAGACTATTATCATAGTCATTGTATTCATTATAAAACATTAGATACAACTCTTAGTGATAGTCATGGATACTAAATAAGCAACATAAATTATACTAAGATACTAAGTAAATAATATAAATCGGAATATACAAGCAATAAAGTTATAGTCATAAGGAGATAGGTAATAGGGAAGATGAGAATAATGATGGTAATACTGCCTTTGACAATGTTGTGGGAATTAGTTATTTAGCAGAAAAATAGGAAAAAACTGTTCTTGTGTCTAGTTGTTCTGCATAGTATCATTTTGAGGGTAGAAGTTGGAACACTTTATGTCCAGGATGCAAAGGATCTGTAGATATTCTCGCAGCACTCTTTCTGGCTCTTATTTGCTAGATTTATATACCGACTTTTGATAGAAGACCATCAAAAGGTGTGCATAAAGTTCCTTCTATTTTTTTCACCAACCACAGCCCAGCAGAATAGACTGAGTTGAGTGTATCTGGCCCAAAATCACCCGGTCTAAGTCTAACCTATAGGATGCCCCTATTGCCAGTCCCTCTCCTACACCCCACTTGCTCTTTGCATCTCTACCATCTGTTCTAATAGCCAACTATATGGCTTAACTCCTGGTAGGAGACAACAGCCCCACAGATAAATCTATCTGTATTCACACCTGCAATTGAATGTTTTGAACTCTCTGACACATTAAGTGTAAATCCCATTGACCGGGGATGGGGGAGAACTGAAGACCTCGATAGGAAGAAGGGTATTACCAGGCCTCTGCTATTCGCCTTGACAAATAAGAGGAAGACTAAAAGATACAAGGGAGGGGCTGGCTTGGATCTTTTCCCGAGGACGAGGGCCGGGACTAAACTGTGGCAAAGGCGAGGGATCTTGTGAACCTCTGAACACGGGTTTCCTCCGCAGAGCCCAGCTCCTCCCCACCACAAACTTCTCGTTGTTGATCCCCACTTACCCAGCCCAGCCCTCCTCATCTTTATTAGTCACAGGAGAGGAGAGATCAGCCCTTCCCCTGAGACTCACGGGCACCGCGGAAAAGCGACGTTCAGACACTCAGCGGCAAGGAGAAAACCGGGCACCCTTACAGGCATTCCCACTGAAATCCCGAAACGCCACGACAGCGTTAAGTTCCCGAAAAGGCTTCCGGGGAATGTAGTTTCGCTATGAGTATTATTATTATTTGCCCTCGCAGTTTCGCTATGATTATTATTATTATTTTTGTCCTCGCAGTTTCGCTATGATTATTATTTTTTGTCCTCGCAGTTTCGCTATGATTATTATTTTTTGTCCTCGCAGTTTCGCTATGATTATTATTTTTTGCCCTCGCAGTTTCGCTATGATTATTACTATTTTTTTGCCCTCGCGAGGCCTTCTGGGTAACGTAGTTTCCCCGTAGTACTCCCGGAGATTTCGGGATAATGTAGTTTTATAAGCCTACTGACTTTCTGCGCATCAAGGGCTGGTTAGAAAGTTCGGGGATGAAGTCGAGAATCATAAATGCTTCTTCTTTTTTTAAAACGAGGACCAACGCTGTCACTTTTATATGTGGAAGAGAAAGCGGACAATCGGATAAAGGCAGATCCCAAGAGGGGAACCATCATTTTGTTTCCTTCCTTCTGCAGCTTTTCTGGCTAGACAATAGCTGGCAGGAGAAGGAAGGCTGAGAGCCCCTTTCAGTGGCAGCAGCATCTTCGAGCCGGGCAGGACACCCAAAGAGAGTCAACAAAGCTGACAAAAGTGGCGCTGATGCCCTTCTCTCTTTCACCCAAGGTCCCATAAGGAGATGGAAACATTTACAGGTAGTCCTCGATTTACAACAGTTCATTTAATAACTGTTCAAAGTTCCAACGGCACAGAAAAAAAGTAACTTAGGCTGTTTTTCACACACATTTACAACTCTTGCAGCATCTCCATGTTCATATGATCAAAATTCAGACAATCGGCAACTGACTCATATTTAAGACAGTTGCTGTGTCCTGGGGTCATGTGATCAGTTTTTGTGACCTGACAAGTAAAATCAATGGGGAAGCCAGATTCACTTAATTGCTTTACTAATTTAACAGCTGTAGTGATTCACAACCACGGTGGCAAGAAAGGCCATAAAATGGGGCAAAATTCACTGAACAAATGTTTCACCGAGCAACAGAAATGTTGGGCTCAGTTGTGGTTATGAGTCGAGGACAACCCATAGTATTGTATGAAATTTTAAAAGAATCTTTAAAAAACAGATGAGACAAATGGGCATCCAAGGAAATGACTGGGCAGGCCTGTGGTACCATTAGTTGATATCTGCAGCAAATTGCAGTGATAATGCATGATGTGATTACTCAAGTGTTGCAATTATATAGTTGCATCAGAATGCCTGACACGATTATAATTGCTATGATCACCACCTCTTCCCACTATAGATGCCTGGCTTATATCTTGCTGCCAAACTCAAATCTAGGCCTAATTTGTAAAGGACAAATATGGGAAATGACAATTTTAATTCTTTCTGAAAAGAAATAACCCCTTCTGACTAGGACATCTACAAGACATTCTACCCAGGCAACATACTGTTCAACTGAAGATGGAATTATTATATTTAAAAAAAATCAAAATCAAAAAAAAAAGGAGAAGACAACCTATTCTTTCATAAAATAATCGCATAGAACAGGGGTGTCAATCTCATGTCGTCAATGGTGGCGTCACATGAGGTATCACAGCTTTTTCCCCCTTTGCTAAACGGGGTGTGGGCGTGGCCAACATGTGATGCATCCAGCTAAAGGGTCACAAGTTTGACATCCCTGGCATAGAATTTATAGAATAGGCTTAACCATCATTTGGACAAAGGGGACAATCATTAAACATGCAGGTAATAATCATAGAAATTTAATCTTTTTATTTAAAGTTTAGTACCCCTTTAAAATGACACATGTGGCTTTTGAATGAGAGGTTTCCTCGAGTATGGTTTTTGACCTCAGAATAGTTTTATTCCTCTTCCTATCATGATTTCTACCAAAACGTTAGGAAGAGAAATATGTTATTCTACTGAAGATGTTGCAGGAGGAAAGTCATGTTAGTCTGATGGCAAAAAAGAGACTAGCATCTTTTCCAACTATCAATGTTAGCATTTTAAAAAGCTTCTGGTTTTTAATTAAACTTGTTTATTGGAAAAGGTGCTACCCAAGATAAGTCCTAAGTTTTTGCGCTTTCACCATTTTTACTTTCTGTAGAAGCAACAAAAATATAATGTGTTCACACAGAATGGGTAGTGAAGTGGACTGGGAAGGAGAGCAGTTCTAGCTATTTCTCTCCCTTATGGAGGAATTTCATATTTTGGAAGGGAGGAGCAGCGGTGTACATCCAGGGAAAAAAAATGTATTTCTGTATTGTTTGACTCCATCTGCCAGTTTTTTTCAATAAAGCTACAACGTGAAAAATCTTTTTAAAATTAAATTGGATGGTACACATGTAGTCTACCATGAATCTTCACCAATAATAGTTTGCTTTTATCTAACTATCATTTAAATAAAAATATTATTAAAGGAATTGTAAAATTCTTAAACTTTGAGGAGCCAAGCTAGAAAAACCTGAACAATCCTGGAGTATGTAGGAAGTTTAATTTTAGTGTCATGTATTATGTTAAGCCACAGTTTGTTTAAATTATAGTTTATTGAAAAGTGACATTGGTAAAATTCAGAAACAAGGTAAAGCTGTATAAATAGCCATCGATAAACAATAATTAGCCATGATTATATAATATGCTAAGCCAAACACAGACAAACTCTAACAAGATGGCAGTCTTTGTCTTGTGTAGTAAACACCATCTCTCTGAATGGCTATTGTTAAGTTATATTCTTAAAAGAAATAATATTGGTATCATTCTTTTCTCTGATTTATTAAAGCAATAATTTAGGTTCAATTGGGGATTTTAACATAAGAATAGTGGATTCTACCAATCAGCTGATATCATGCATATGATTGTTGGAAGAAATGTCTATCTATGTTCAGTTCTAAGTGTGAAGAAAGACACTGGAAACATGGAGACTGCTTGGAAGGATGGTTTAATAGTGAACAGCAGAACCATATGGGGTTTGAAGCCCTGGGCAAAATTGAGCACATGGGTGAGAGAGGGAGACAGATTTATACTCTTTGTTGGGCCTTGAACTTGCTTCGTGTTCCTGTGGCAAGAAATATATTCTGATTGGTTGTCAGACTCCCATGAGGCCATGCAGGGATGACTTTCTAGGTTGTCTTTGTTAATAACCTTTAATGGATCTAGCCAAAATTAACTTTAAAAAATGTTTATGGTCAGAGTAATTCTTTTATTGTAGAAATGTAAACTTACATTATGTCTACGTTCTCTCTTAGGTACATCATTCTTCCAGGGGAGAGACGAGAGAGAGGTTCAAAAACCAAAAGTAAGTACTTTTTATACCTGGTGGGAAGAGAATGTGCAGTGATGCATCATGGAACTTGTATGCTTAACATGGCAATATCAATGTTTTCTTATGTAATAAAGCAGTTTGACATTTTACCTTAACAGTCTTGAGTCCTAGGCTTGGTTGAATCTTGCTGGGTGTTGTAATCTTCCCAGTTGTCATGTGGTGAGATGGGTAGAGGGCTAATCCTATCATGTCCTAGGGCCATGTCTTGATCCCATTACCCTGGAGCTGAAGTGAGCTGCTTTGTCTTTAAAAATATATTTCTCCTTTTCTCATCCAGTGAAAAATAATATTCTGCCTTTTTAATATTTCCTAGAATATTTAATTCTTCTAGGAGAGGGGTGGGTGCTAACTTTCTACATGATATTATGGCATATATTGAACATTTATGTCTTCCATAGAATAAAGCACAGCAGTAAGTGTATGCATGTATTGTTCTTTTTCCAGATCCCAGAGTACCACAGCCTATATTTTTTCTAAGTCTTCTCTCCTTGATAGATTTGCTTGGCATCATTACATACCAAGCTACCAAGCTGTTATTGTGGCTTTTTACATCTTTGAATCTAAATTTGCAGTTGGCTTGGTTTTTGAATCAGGAATTGCTTTCCCCTGGCTTCCCTCCTTCCCTTAAAGATGGTTTCCTCTTAAGGGTGATCCGTCACTTTAATGAGTTAATATCTTACAGGGATTTTGTGAGCACAATCTGCTGCATCAGCCACATAAAAGAAAGTGTTCACCCTTGTGAAAGAAGCACTTAGTGTTTCCAAGAGCAAGTAAGGCAAGTTTGGCTCTCCAGCTATTCATTCAACACTTGACAGCCATATGAATAGACTCTAGTCATTGCAAATGTGTAAATTGGTTGGCCATTGGAACCAGAATAACATTTGAATGCCTGCTGGGCTGCTCTTCACTTAGGTGAAATTGACCTTGTGGCAGTAGAATCTTTCAGATGTTGAAAGCTGTCCTAATGTTAGTGGTATTGAAGTTTTCTACTATATTCGATAGGATTTCCCTTTTTTGTGCACAATGGATGTGTCACTTTTTAAGGCATTCTAATTGTCCTCCATTTCAAACAAGAAAATGCACATGGGAAGCATGCACAGAATTACATGTATTTTTCAACGGTTTAAATTTTAAGCATCATTTGCAGATCTTGGCAAATCTGTTCTATGTTCTTTTTCAGAATGATCTGCAGCTTCCCCAGAATTGAGCTTTTGCCCAGATTCTCATTTTGCTTTTTTCAGGCACTATATTTCAACTTGGCATATCTTATGTTTAAAAAGAAAAAAAAAGAGAAGACAGCTTTTTTTTTTTTTTTGCTCTCTTAAATCTGCCTTCAGAAGAACATTACAGATAGTCCCAAAGGACTTCTTTCTTGATGTGAACACCTAAAGCTTATGGCTGGATTCTCATCTCTCATCTCTTTGGTCCTAGCAAATCTTTTGCCACTTTCCCCCCATTTTTGGTTCCTAGGATTTGAGGGTTCCAGGAAACAATATGCTAAGACACTGAGATCACTGGAGAGGAAGGATAAAATTATAGCATTTTTCCTCCTGGGTGATTAGTGTACATAGTTACTTTCAAATCTGGAGGAAAACTGTTCAAGATTTTATTGCTATTACCTGGGAACTTGTGGCTGAATTACAAAAGCAATGTGATGTTGAGAGGTGGTGGTGGATGT